AGTGCTTCATGCCCCGCTTCTATACAGCAGATGCTGTGCATTAATTGGCCTGTGTAGAAGTGACCCAGGGTTCCTTGCAGCGGGCCCAATTTTAGGCAGAGGGTTTAAATAGCTTATTTATTATTTTGTATAATCTGGCATACATTATGTGCTCCTGCACGTGTCGTCTTTCATGGTCTGCAGTTTCTAATGTCATGTGGGTTTCAAAACCTGTGTTTCTCTGGTAATGTACTAGCAGCAGGTAAGCTCAAAATACCATCCATCAGGAGCTAATTTTTTATCCAGATACTCCAGTGACTGATGAACCTGTCTTTTGTATGAATGTTTAGCACAGTAGAAAGCCATATGCCACTGGCACAGTTTCCTCTGCACTCTTTACAGTTGCTAGAGAGTGGGCTTACAAGGGGGGAAGCTCTGTACCATTTATATCCTCTTTCCTATATTTAAACGCTAACACCTTGAAAACAGTCCTGGGTTTGGACGACAAAGGAGGGTAGGGTCTGTCTTCTTAAAGGAAACCTGACTCCCACAATCATTTTCTATATCAGAAATATGACTGCACACTCTTAATAGGGAACCTTGTTTTGTTACTCCCCGTCTGTTCAAAACAGACCTCAGCCCATTAGAAGGGCCTCCCTTGTGTGGGAAGAGCACAGCTGTTACTGTAAATCTCATCCAGTCACTGTATCACCCCCATTTTGTGGCTCTGAAGGATGAAATTGAGAAATGGAATACTGTGCAGTCATCCTTTACATCTCCAATTTTAGGCCTTTGCCATCATTTTCATGCTTTTATTCCAAGTCAAATAACATTAGTGAGCTACACCTTCTGATGAATAGCTGGTATTGAGCACAGCTTTCAGGTCTGTACTTCTGGGGCGCCTTTTTGTGTTTGGTGGTCTTTCCCTCCCCCACCTTCTCTTCTCTGTTTTTTCCTGCACTTTCTCTGAGCTTTCTTTGTGGCCATAGCAGTGTGCAGTTGGAATGATACACGTTGCCAAAAATGTCGCAGTCCTTGCGTGTTTTCTGAGAGGGGCACGTGCAGAAGAAGGTTCTGTGTCTTTTAATGTTTGTAGAAAGAGTGAAGAGAACTTGGTGGGAGGATATTGGGGGCTTTAATCAGAAATAAGAAGTGGTTTAAATCATTAGCACAACAAAGCAATCCTATAAGCTTGAAGATAAAAGTCTCTGGGGAAGGAGTCCTCTGAAAATAAATGGAACTTGATAGATTTCCATATCATTTATAACTTCCCTTAATTACACTTGGAAGACTTGCCAGTAACACTGGAAAATTGGCAGCCTATATCCATTAGAGTCATTTTGCCGACCATGGCAAGCAGCTGGCTTTACTGGATTTTATTTCCCATCACTCACAATTAATCATCAGCTGGAGATGTCTGAAACTCTTCAGCACACGGCAATGCTGGGTGACATTCAGGCCCCCTAAACATGCGAAAATCTGCTGAGTAAATGGGCCGAGTTTTCTCTCAAGCTTACTCGTTTGGGGCAAGGCCGGCTCCCGCTTAATGAGTGCCGCTCTGATAATCAGATACGAATGTGAACCCTGACCCCGTGTCAAAGGAGAGGACGCAATAAGCCGGATGAAGGATACAGGACTCAGGCCTAGCAACTTTACACCAATTAGACAGGGAGCGGAGAAATACATCAGGCCCACTAGGTTTATCAAAGAGACTTGCGAGGCTTGTGACCATTTTGTAAGCCCAACACTGGAGACATCCTGTCATAATCATTAAGACTTTATCAGATGATTCACAAAAGTGTTAGAGAAGCGTGCGCACACAGTCCTGCAGGAGCAGGGCCCTCACATGTGAGCTGCCTGGTGGAAGCGGACTGTGAGCGCCTCTCTGCACCCAATTAATGCCCCGGCTTCCTGAGCCCTTGGGGACATGCGGACCGTGGTGCCTCTGCTGGGCCCACTGCCCAGCTCCCTTGCACGCTCCAGGGTGGGCGAAATGTCCCACGGGAGCAGACACTGCAGGGCAGAGGGGCTCCAACGCCGGAGGAGAGAGTGTGGCCTGGGATCCCAGCTTGGGTGACAGCCACCTCCCAGAGACCAGGGCAGGTGTCTGTGTTTCCACTGCACTCTCTGGCACACAGCTGGTGCCATATTTGGTTTTTCAACTTGTTTTTTGAGGGATAAAATAAGTTGAAATTAGATGAAGCGCTGTGTGAATACATGTGTTTGTGTGCCTGCGTGTGTGTGTGACATGGTCCAATTAGACAAGACGTGTCTCACAGTTTTGTGGGTATGCAGGCAGTGTGTAAGGGCTGTGTCTTAGGGATGAGTAAGTGAACAGTCTCCAAAGCAGACCGCTCCGGGTGAACAGAGGAGGGAATGGATTACTTAGGTTTGCGTTTGCAGTGAGATCCTTGAGGCAAGCCGGAGACACAGCGAGAGGAACGAGGGAGCGGAGGTGGGCTGGCGAGGCCACCCGAGCAGCCGGGATCTGATCTGTGACTCAGTGCTGGGCCACGGGTCAGGCAGAGGATGGGATCACCTTGGATCCGCTGACCTCTGTTTTCCTGTCAATCAAATTGCCAGCCTCACAGTCAGAAGCAGGGACTCGTAACTGTGGGCTTTCCATTTCTCCCAGTCTTCCTGGCTAAGTCAGAGGTTTTGTTTTTCTGATTGATGAGTGGGGACCTAGCGCTTGCAGTCACCTGTATGCCACCTCTTTGCGTGTTGCCCACGTTCCCAGCACACAGAGCCAGCAGGAGGGATGGTCGGGGCTGCAGCGGCAGAGTCACACCTCCCTGTCCCTGTCCTGCTGCCCCAGGCGCTAGTAGGGCCTGGTGCAGAGCCGTGGCCTGGCCAGTGGCCTTCAGCGCGCTTCCTGTGGGTGTCATCATCACGTTGGCCTCTGCCCCTGTGTGTGACCGTTGGAAACCTCCGGGCTTCATTTCTTCAGATTTGCCATTTAACTGTGAATTCACTTTCTTGAAGATCAATATAAAGAGGGAGCAGGGGCTGTCCTGGCCAGCAGATTCTGGCAGTGGGATGGAAGAGGTTGAGCGGCGAGGGTGGGGCACTAGGACTGGTGGAGGGGCGAGGCTGGCCCCCCAGAGAAGCCTGTGGACAGGAGTGGGAGGCCAGCACGCGGTCACCCATAGCGGGCACTGTCCATCTGTGCAGGGAGCAGTGACCAGAGCCCCGAAGCAGAGAGTTGACTCCTAATTTGGGGGTGGAATTTCCATTATGTTCTGGTGACTTCAGATCCGTTTTCCAGAACGCCACCAGGCCCTGTTGCCTGAGTGCCCAGTACCTGGGTCAGGATCTGTTTCGGCGAGTCCCGCTCCTGGACCCTCAGCTTCTGCCTACAAGGCTATGGGCTGGGCCCACTAAGGTTTGCCATGTGGATGAGGATGGCAGCTGCCACTTCTGTGGACTTCGTCCTTCTCCTGTTTTTCTTGGTTCCTGCCTTCCTTTGAAGAGAGAAAAGGTTCTCAAATGAGGACTAGAGGGAGTCACTGTTCCGCCACTTGGCTGGGGAGTCTGCACTGTCCCTGCGCTGCCCCGCTCCCGCCCCGTAGCATTTTGAAGGGCAGCCCTGGCGAGTTGATTCTTTGCTCTCCCTGGAATGCAGACGCCAGGTGACAGCAAATCGAGATGGGCAGTGAGCTCAGTGCTTCAAAGCCCCGCTCTGCAGCACACACAGTGTCTCTCCTCTGTGCCAGCACCGAAGTCTGGCATCCCCTCTTTTCCTGTATTTCTGTGCCAGGAAAAAACAGCCCACCACCTGAACAGCAGAGGAAAGAATACACAGGGCTCCGACACTCGGGTTGCCAGCAAGACAGCTTGCGCCGCCCGGGAGGCTGCAAGGGGGACTTGGAGATCATCTGGGGATTTCAGGAAGGAAGATTCTTCAGGCACTTCTGCGGCACTGGACAAGCTTGGCTGCATTGGTGTGGGTGTCCGGGGCCCCACACCGGGATGTCCACCCACACCCCATGGAGCCGTTGCCTGAGGAAATGGGACTCTCCAGATTCAAAGACTGGGAGGCCCCTTTTCACAAAGGAAAGAAAAATCTGGCCAAGCTCCTTGATACTTACCCATCAAGGCAGAGAAACGTGAATAAATAGAGTAGCTTTTAGTCACAGCTGATTCCTGGATGGAAGCCTCACGTTTAACCCCAGCAGGTTTATACCTGGCTCAGCCTGGATTTCCTCCATAGTAAGAGGACCTTCAGAACACGAAGCCGGAGTGAGTGCCTGTGGGAGCTGCTGGTCTGCTCGCAGACAGGGGGTGTAGCTCTAGAGACCATTCCCTGCATAGGAAGGCGCTTTCTGGGAGCTGTCTTGTTGTCAGTACCTGGTGTGTCTTGCAGGGAATGGGATGGTGGTCCTCATGACCCTGATGCTAAGCAGTTGTTCCCAGCTCCCCAGCACTGTAGGCAGGAATGGTCCATCTTTTTGGTAACAGCTTTACTGAGATATAATTCCCATTTAATACTATTTACCCCTTTAAAGTGTATAATTCAGTAGTTATACTCTATTCACAGAGTCGAGCCATGATCAGTCTATTTTGGGACATTTTTATCAGCCCAAGAAGAAACCCTGTACCCATGAGCAGTCATGCCCGCCCAGCCCCAAGCAACCACAATCTTTCTGTCTGTAGACATTTGCCTATTCTGGACATTTCAGATAAATGGAAAACTTCCCAATTTTGCAGCACCTTTGTTAGCAAAGCCAGACTCAGAGATCCCAAGGCAGAGGATGGGCACAACCAGCATCCCTAGTCCTCCAATATCAGGGATTTTTTTCTAGTGATGACTTGATCATAGAGGGAATGGCCTTTCTCTGCTGTCCCCTAAAGATGAACTTGGAATAGGAAGCATTGGAAGTGGTTGCTTCTGTTTCTGTTTAGGTAAAAATTTCAGCATATTTGACAAAGAAATTCTTAATGGCTTCACTCTTGAGCATTATTGCAAATATAATTAGAAAGCTTTTAAAATCTCTGTCCATTTTTTTTCCATTTTCCAGGTAGCAGAAGGTCAGGAAATTTGTGTGATTGAAGCCATGAAAATGCAGAACAGTATGACAGCTGGGAAAACCGGCAAGGTATGTCCCCAAGTTCCTGCCAGCCCACGCTGGCCTCGTGACAGTTGATTCTGAAAGGGGCCACAGGGGTGAGCTCTCCCAACTCTCCTTTTCGCAGAGGAGGACACGGAGATTGGGGAGCTCTTCCCGCTCTGCACTGAGTGTCCCTGCCTCATGGAGCGGGCCGTCCAAAAAAGAGTCCGTGCTATGTTCTGGTAGTCAAAGAACAATTGTTCATCACATTAATGTCTTCAAATTAAGGGGTCTTTAATTTTTAATGTTGACATCTGTCTTGGAGGCAGTTAGTTATCCGAGACTTCGGTGACACAGCAGGAAATAGTTTTACAGATTGCAAAAATTCATGTAACTCTTCAAGATAATTTTGCACAAAAAGAACAATTCAACTATAGATCAAGAGGAGCTGAAACCTCATGTACAATGTGGGACTTCATGACTTAGGAAGATAAAAAGGAGAGAGATGAACTTTTTTAAGAGTAAAACTTTTTAAATGTATTTTTTCCTCGAATAGAAAAGTCCTTAGCCATAATTTCATTATTCTTCCTACAACTAAAAAGATGTCATTGGTAGGAGAATGATCCTTTTCTGAAGAATGTTTTAGTTTGGAAGTGTCTGTGTGGTGGAGAGTGACAGGAGGTGGAGATGGCAGCAGAGGTTGGCCGTGTCCTGTATGTGGCCACGCCTTGGGGACATCAGGTACAAAGACACCTGTCAGTTCACAACCAAGCCTGTGTCAGAGGGACACAGTCTCTGTCTGTCATGAGGTCTGTCACCCTAGAAGGCAATGAAACTGATTCTCAGAGAAAGGGTACAGGGGATGCCCTGCCTGGCCCCTCTGGGAGGGCAGAGGCCCCGGTGCATGCTGGGGGCCCGGGCAGGGTGCAGACTGCTGCGCTGTCTCCATGGGGCTTGGGAGAGCAGAATGGCATGATTTGCAGTTTTTTTAGGAATCCTTTCTAAATTTGATTACTTTTTTTTTTTTTTTTCCCTTTTTGTCTTTTTTACTGACCGGTAACGGGATCGCAACCCTCAGTGTCGCGCCTGTACCGGGGACCAGCAACAGGTTATCGCAACCCTCGGTGTTGCGCCCGCACCGCGCTCCGCCAGTGAGCGGGAACCAGTCTCCACATGGGATCCGAACCCTCGGTGGGAGCGCCGCCGCGCTCCCAAGCGGCGCACTCTCCAGTGCACCACCGGCCTGGCCCATAAATTTGATTACTTTTAAAAAAATGAATAAGAAAATGTTGGTTTCTTTAATGTAAAAATTGTTATATTTGTTCACTGGGATTATTTAACATTTACACTGCACTAGCCTCACAAAATTTCCTTCCCTGATGAGTACTTGGCCTGGTTGTGGGGGACTGAGAATGTGTGTCAGATACACGCCAAAGGCCCCGTGTTGCTGGACTGAGGTGCTAATGTGGAAATGAGCATGGTCCTAGTTCCCTGAAGGAGTGGGGAGCCATACCCACCATGTGCTTTATTTCCCCCGAGTCTGGCTCTCCCAGGAGAGGGTTGGCTGCTCCCTCGCCATCAGCATCCTGGAGCTGTTTCTCAGGGCTGTGATGGGCACTTGGTGAATCTGTACTTTGGCCCAACCCCTATTAACTGGAGTCCTTCCTGTCCGTTCCATTTCTCTCCTCACCCCAAGGCTCTTGATTCCAGCCAACAGGGCACAGCAGGGGTGGTCTTGAAGCCCCAGCATGGAGGAGCCTGGGGCTGGCAGTTCTTACCTGGGAGGGTGATTATTCCTGCCAGACAAAAGGTTCACAATGGAAACATGTCCTCCAGTAATTGTGGCATCATTAAAAATACATCATATACAAACATTGGAGGCATCAGGATCATAAAAAAGCAGCAACTTCAGTCCAAATAGCATCTGCCAGGCAAGGCCTTTGAAGTGTCCATTGCATAGGTTCACATCGTTCTCAAAAACCTTGGGCTTGCGATAAAGAGGAAAAGGCCCTTCTAGCCTGCTCACTGTGGCACTGCAGGGACACAGGCCAGTGCACTGACCCACATGTCACCAGCACCTCGTTTGCCAGCTGCCCACATGCCAGTGAGTTCTGACCCACTGTGCATTTTCATGCCCAAGCAAGAACCTCCAAGAAGTCAGATGACTGTCTCTTCTCAACTCCTGCCACCCCCTGCTAATTTAAAATCTGAATACAAATGTAGGAAAGCAAATCTTGATTAAAATTGGGAGAAATCGGTAGAATGAGAAGGCACAGTTGCACGTTCCCGTGCCGTGCCACAGAGGGCACCTGTACAGCCACATGGCTTTTGAGGATTTCATTATGCTGCAGAAGGCAGGTGATGGTCAGGCTAGTGAGTCCTTCTTTAGTTAGTGCCTGCTTTGTCATAGAATTTTTTTTTAAATACTTACCTACATACTACTGTCAGAGGATATTTCTACAGCCTAAAACCATGGGAGAGTGAGAGGGCTGAGTGCCCAGAGCTCATCTGGCATGAACACTTCAGGCTTATGAGGTGCTGTCAGGATCCGAGTGTGCCCAGCACATGGGGCCAGGCAGCAAACCATAGGAAAATTGCCCAGAGCACGTCCCATGCCGGCAGGAGTCAGGCCTGATGAGGACAGAGACAGGAGAGGGGAAGGGGGTGAGTCACAGCCTTCTACAGGGATATCCCTGTCTGTCAGGATCCCCTTGAATGGGCCTGCACGGAGGAGCTCAGACCTGTGCTCCCAGTCCTGCAACACTGTGTTCATTTCCAGAAATGGATTAGCAGATTGCTCCCTCCTGGTTCTAGTTAATAATTCTTACTCTTACCCCCGCCCCATTTTTTTTTTTTAATTCAAGGTGAAATCCATGCATTGTAAAGCCGGAGACACAGTTGGAGAAGGCGATCTGCTCGTGGAACTGGAATGAAGTATTTATAGCCTTTCAGTCATCACCCAATTTAATTAGCCATTTGTATTATTCTTTCACATTCAACTTATCCAAGCGTGTTATAGGAACACTCCTGTGCAGCAGGTTTTACATCATCATATATATTCCACATAAGAATCAAAACCAAGATTCTGCCAAAAAATCACCAATGGAAACTTTTATTGATATAAATACTTGTACATATGATTTGTACTTCTGCTGTGAGAATTCCTAGTGTCAAAATTAAATCAATAAAATCCAGCATTTGTCTAAATATTCGTTTGCCCTTTTTTTGAATGAAGACAATGTACACATAGGCTACAGGCTGTGCCAGTAGACTATAAATACTAGCATTTCATTGTGATCCTTTAAAATATTTATATAAATTCCAGTTCTCTGCCTTCAATTCTATTGAATTAGCATCTGCCATTTTATAATGTGATTACGTTACTTCTTCTGTAACTGACGACCTCACTCCTGTTGCTGATTATTCATAACTTGCTGAAGACCAGATAGTACAGCTGACGATTCTGGAACCCCTTCCCGCTGTGGCTCTGGGTGTATGTGGCGCTGGACGGTTGACCCCTCAGGAGGCCGTCAGGCCTGCTGTCTGCCAGCCGCTGCCAGCCCTCTTCCGAGGAAAAGCACGTTGCCCAAGCCCCTTCCCCATTGCCACAGGCCGGGGCATGCACAGGTGCCCACGGGGTGCCCGGGCTGCCTTGCCCTTACCCGTGGTAGATGGGGCTGCCACCGCCCGTCAGCTGATATCCATCCTTGCCTTTTTGTGTTTTTGTGAAGCGAGTTTTCAATTAAGAAAAGAGGCTAAAAATAATGATCATGTTTTTGTGCCAGATGTAGTTAGTGATCACAGTCTACCATTAAGTTGAAGAGTGAGATCTCCCAACGGAGAACAAGGTTACTAAGGACCAGCAGCTGCGTGTTCATTTGGTTCTGAGATTCTTGGAATACATTTCATACTTTGCTGGTAAGCAGAAGCAGAGTCGTGCGCCGGTTTGAATCTACACTGACAAATTATCAGATGGAGGTGGGTAGTAATTGGTACTTCGTGCCTTGCTAAAATTATTTTAAGTGCTGTTTGTATTTGGAAGCTAAGCTTTCTGTCAGGCCTGAAGAACAAATTACTAATGTGTTGGTTCTTCTCTGAAAGGCCCACCCCCAAATCCTGCTCCCTTCAGGAGGCAGTGACGGCCTGGCTGCTGAGATCTGGGCTTGGAGAAACTTCCATTTGAAGTCTGGGTGCTCAGCTGTGTCTACCAGCAAGTGGGTGTTCATTATTTTGCTAGATTAGAATGAAAAGAACCTTCTACCAAATAACTATGCCAAAAAAAGGGTCAAACATAGCACTAGCACTTTTATATTTTATTTCCCAAAACATCTAGTTTAATTTTAAATAATTATCTTTAATAGTTTCTGTGTAAGCTTGTTCTGAAAATTATGAAAAATGGTGCTATATATACTCCAAAATACAGCATGTTTTCCTTGAGAATTTTTATTATATTGAGCCATCTAAATTCCGCTTTTAGTTAAAAAAAATTTTTCTAGGGGCTACAGGCCAGAATCAACACAGTAGGGCTGCTGAAATCTGGCTACAACACGAAGTCTTTATATTCATTTTAAATGTTATCTTCAGATTAAAGCAAAACGAAAGGAAAAGAATAAGAAAGAAAAAGCATGATAACATGAGTTCTCTAAATGCCATTAGGAGAATTAAAATCCTAAATTTTTCTCATCCAATACATTCAAGCCCATGATGCTCTCGAAACAGCAAGCAATAGAGTAGCATGGGACAGAACGGCTTGACGGGACAATCTCATTATCAGCATAGGAAAATTATTTGTGAAACCAGCTGCCACAGAGAGAGCGATTGGCTCTTTTTCCACATGTTGAGGCTCATGAGGACTTGCTGGGAGGCCACTGTCCTGCGTTGGCGCCCGCCGAGTGCACACAGCCGAGGGGCCTTGGCCACGGGCTGCGCTGGCTTCATCGGCGGCTCTCCCCGGGGTGGTAGCGCAGCCCGTGCGGGCCCTGGGAGTCGTAGCAGTCGAGGCACGGGAGCTGGGCCCACTCGGGCGGGTAGGTGGCCGTGCTGTACACGAAGCACTGCACCACGGCCTCCTGGGGGCCGCCGTCGCCCTGCAGCACCTGCACGCTCAGCAGCGTGCGCTGGTACTCGTCGGGGCAGCCCTCGAAGGCATCCAGGAAGCGTAGCATCCGCTCGTCCACGGTGTACAGCTCGCCCTGCACGTAGTGCCCCGTGCCTGGCAGGTTCAGCAGCCGCGGGACGTTGTATTCACCGGCGATGACCAGCGGGTAGCGCTCCAGCGTGCGCGCGAGGCCCAGGAAGGCCGCCTGGCCGTGCTCGCCGTCCAGCAGGACGCTGTGGTTGGGCTGGCCTCTCTTCAGGGTGCCGTAGACGAAGACCTGGGCCATGCTGGCTGGGGGAGCGATCCTCGCTGTAGCACCCCGGCAGGAAATAGCGTGGACTTGGGGGGCCGCGTGTGCTGTCACCAGGGCTCCGCTCTGCTGGCCACAGACGATATGTAAACGAGTGAGCGTGGCTGTGTTCCAGTAAAACTGCATTTATGGACACAGAAATAAGAATTTCACACAATATTCACGTCATTAAATAGTTTCTTCCCCCCAGACATTTAAATATGCAAAAACCCTTCTAAGCTGTGGCTGGTCCAAAACAGACACCTGGCCTGACTGACCTGTGGGCTGGTTTGCCATCTCTGGTCTAGAAAAAGGGGCAAATATGACCACTTTAAAAATCTTTAATGCATTAGAGGGAAGTGAGTGGTGGCCCTGCTTCTCACTTTGGGGCCCATCAGCCCCCATGGTGATGCTCAAAGCCACAGGACACCCAGGAGACGGGGCATGCCAGTCTCCCCTGGGGCCGTGGGAAAGACCATTCAGCAGCATGGCCCGCTTCAGATGGCCGAGCCGGGTCTCTAAGAGACCCATGCTTGGACCCACACCCATGCTGCAGGACAGCCCCTTAGCACCCCAGCATGGGAGCCACAGCAGCCTTCCAACTCTGCAAAGGAGCTTCCTTCTCCCCTAGCCACAGAGTAACAATGGCCTTGCTTAAGCCTCTCCTAGCACCATGCGTCCTTCTCTCAGGAACACAGACCTCACCTCACACTGGCAGCCTCCCTCTGCAGGTCACCAGGCCCGAAACCCAGGCCCGGTCCCCAGCCCCAGTCCCCCACTCCAGTGGTAGCAGCTCAAGGCCAGAGGATGCCTTGGCTAGGCTCCAGCAGTGACCTCCCAGACGCACTGTGCCTGGGCGGTCAGCTGTTCCTGCTCCTGTCCCCAGCACAGCCCAGAACCCACTACTCCTTACAGTCGTGTGGTGGCACTGAGGTTCCAGGAAACACCAGCCACCCTTTATAGCTCTTTATCCAGGAAAAGGCACTTATTTTCAGAACACAGTTGTCAGGTGGGGACAGCCTGTCCTGGGATCAAGCCCTGAAGAATCACCATTTTCTTGAGCAGTTTTCAATCTTTTTAACAGGACTTTAAGAAGTTCATGATAAGTATTTGTTATAGAAGAATTAGAATTAACAAATAGGTACATATATACACACACACGTGTGTGTGTGTGTGTGTGTGCGTGTTTTATGTCACCTGTAGTCCGGCTAGAAGAGATAATCCAGGCTGTAGTAATGAATGGACTTTCTGGTCCTGGCAGTGTGACCCAGCAAAACCTGAACAACACACCTCGGTGTTTCCTTTATCAAGGTCATAGAGGGTAATGATGCTTCACACTCTGACTCATGTGACTCGCCACCTCAACCTCAGGTCCGATGGGAGGGGTAAATATGGCTTGCCTGCGTCTGGGCCATAACGTTATGTAAGGACAAATGACTGTAAAAGTGACTCAAACAGAAATCGAAATGAGCATGGGACAGGGAAGAGCCTCTTTGTAGCCTGACACTTTGTAACGACAGCCGTGGCAGCCCTCTTGGACATGGGACAGCAGCGTAGGGAAACAAAAGCCGCCTGTGTCCTTGTGGCAGCCCACAGCCAGCCAGAAGCATCAGGGGAGTGACATCCCCTGGACACTGGTGTATGCCACCAGTCATGTGGACAAGAGGCCCTTAGAGAAGTCACACTGCACTCACAGGCCTTCCATTTTCTTCTTGGCCAACAGGGTCGCTCCGGGGATCTCGGCCTGGCCTCTTCAGGGCCACCTGGGGGTGACAGGCCTTGCATGCCTCCGCGTCTTCACTCTCAGTGGGGTCACCAGTCTGTGCGGTGTTCACTGTTCCATAGGTTTAAGGGACACTACACTAGAAAGGCATGGCCATGGAAAAGGACAAGGCTGGCCTGGCCATTTGACAGCCCTGGGACACCCTGACTAGGGCGAGGACGTGATCTGAGTGCAGAGGTTAGGCTGGGGGTAGAGGGGGTGCCTGTGATATGAAAGTCCAGATGTGAATTAAGAAGAATCGTCCTGGAATCGGTGGTGCGGACAGGAAGGGCTGCAGTGGACGGGACTGGGCTGCTGGGCGACAGAGGAGGGAGGGTATGGGGTGAAAACGACAAATGCGATCGGCGTGAGAACAGAGCTGGTGGACGCTGAGAGGCTAGAGAGAAAAGACAGAGCTGCCAGGAGAGAGCATTGGACCTGCCCAGAGAGGGACAGTGGGCAGTGAGGGGCTGTCCACAAGCAGTGGCCAGGAGCGACCGGAAAGGTGCACACCCAGGGGACCCGGCTGTGTGGCTGCCCTGGACACCAGACCTTTGGAAGGAGTTGCGGCCGCCTCTCCCACACCTGCATCCTGCCCCCTGGCACGGCCTGTCAGCTCCTCCCTGCTCATCTCTCACCCATGCCCAGCACCCATGCCCCATTGCCCCCCAGCTCCTGCTTCATGGTTCCAGCCTGTTCCCATGCGGCACCCAGTGGGTCCTTGTCAACCTCCCACTGCAGAGCCGCTGCCCCATGCCCCTCCCACCAGCCCCCAGCCAGCCGGCCGCCCCTGGCCCTGCCTGGAGTTCTGCAGCCACTGTCCCTGCGCGCCCGCCCCCCACCTGCCAGCAGCCGATCTGGAGCAGCCACTCAGTCCCGTGGCATCAGCCCGTGTGGCTGTCTTTACAGCACGTGGTCTCTAATCCCGGCCGTGTCTCATTCAAGGCGGCAAGACACGCACGGCCACTCTCCCCAGCACGGGGCGGCCTGGCAACCCCCTCTTGAAATCAGTTTTTAAAAGTAATGTGTCCATAATGTAAATAGTCAAATAGCTTCACAAGAAAAACGGAATTCCCTACCCCTTCCCACTCCCCAGAGCAACACTTTTAAGCCTTTAAACTGCTGCATTTGGTACTTCTCTCCGCGTTTGTCACTTAGACTGCTACTCCTCGCGGTCTTACGTCGTCTCCTACCCCAAAAGCCGCACAGACTTTAGAACCACGTTGCCTGGGAAGGGATCGTGGCTCTGCCACTTATTAACTGTGTGACTTAGGCAGATCGCTTGACCTCTCTGTGCCTCAGCGTCCTCAACTGTACAATGAACAGCAGCATCCTGTCCCCAGCCATGGCTATAGGAGGGAGTCCCCATGGGGCGGTCCCCTGTGGTCAGTGCAGGCCGCTGCTGTCACTGCGGAAGCCAGCGCCAGGCTCTCTCTCCACGCCCCTCATCCTCCCAACAGACTCGGCCCGCGTTTTGGTCACATCCACGTCCATTTCAGCATCGGAACTAGGTAGACACTGCTGTCAGCTGAGACACATCGTGTACTGTGACTACATTTCCTTGCTTGGACTTGTTTTTCTTAGAATTAAAAATGGCTTCAGGTTTTTTTTTTTTTTTTCTTTTTGCCTTTTGCTCAGGTTTCTATGACAGTAATGTCGCCTCCTGTTTTCTGAAAGCACTGTCAAAATCCGTCAGCGCTGACCAGTGCGAGTTCTGTTAGTCCCTGGGGCCCGTCTGTTCCAGCCTGGGGACGGCCCTGCCACCCGGGGACCTCCGAGCCTCTCCCTTGTCCTTTCTTGGCTGTCTTGTTGTGCTAAAGCTTATTCTTTCTCGCCCTTGATCAATGATGTGGCTGTGTAGAAGATTCTAGAAATCATTTTCTTCGGAACTTTAAAGGTGTTCCTTCATCGTCTTCCAGTTTCCCAAGTTCTTGCTGGGCAGTGCGCGCCGCTGTCATCCAGGCCCCTTTGTGTGGCTGGAGCTGTCCCGAGGCTCCCGAGGCCTCCTTCCTCCCGGTTGTGAGACTTGGCGGCGCCGCAGACTTGTGCGGCCTCGCGCGTCCGTGGTGCTGGGAATCTCGTCTGAAGCTCATTTCTGGCTCGCGGGGGCATTTTCTCCCTCTGCCTCCTCATTCTCTTTCTGGATCTCCTAATGTTAAGGTGGTGATTTCCTGGACTAATCCCCCAATGTTCTCATCTTTTCTCCTTTTTCCAGGTTTTTTCCTTTATGTTCTACTTTGTCTTTCAATTCTTCTATTAATTTAAAATTTTTTTTCACCATATTTATCTCCAAGATCTCTTTTCTTTTTCTTTTTCAGCATCTTTTTCTTTTACAGACACGATACTATCTTTTTTTTAAGGGTTCCTTCTGTCCGTTCATTGCCTCTATGCCCCTAAATTCCTCTTTTGTCTTTGTTTTGGTATCTGTGTTTCTTTGAGATTTTCTTCGAATGCTGGGAACCCTTGGCTGGCATTTTGTATTGAAAACTGACGCTCTTTAGAAGTGAGACGGGGCTCTGCATGGAGCGAGGGAGCCCGACACCGGCGGGCCACGTGTGGGGATCTGGGGACAGGACTGTGGGGGCCTAGATGACAATCTGTAGAAACAGAGACTTTCCCTCAGTGTACGTTCTCAGTTGTCACCTCACCGCCATCCCCAGCTGGGCCTGGCATTGCCAGTACCAAGGCGTTCTCACCAAACTCTCTAGAAAGGCCCCACCGGTCGTCCACTGGGGTCAAGAGGTCATGGGGTTCCCGCTCCCTGTACAGACCTTTGGCCTCTCCTGTGTCCAGCCCTGCCCTGTCCTTCCCAGGCCTGTGCCCCTCGTTGGCCTCTCGCTGTGCAGGAGCTTAGGTCTCTGGTGTCTCCAGGCTGCTGAGTCACGTACTGCTCACTTTTGTTTCCATCTTCCAGACTTTTGTTGCCCGCTCTCCTCCTGCGTCCTTCTGGGTCATCTGAGTGGCATTTACAGAGGAGTGGGGACAGAGGAGCCTGCTCCTGCCGGTCTGCCCCCTCCGCTGCCTCCCTGCCCCGCCACAGGCTCACAGCCCCTGCTCCTCGAGAGGCTCCGTGGGAACGAGGGAGGAAGCCGGGACGGGCGCCGCTTGCTCAGGAGGTGGAGGGAAGGTTTCATTCATGTATGGCTGACCCAAGGGTGCTTCATGTCATCAAGCAGCAGCCAGTAAGGTAGCAACTGTGGGCACCAGACAGAGGGCTGGCGATGGCTGAAGGGGCCAGGTGGGGGAGGACAGAGAGGGGACTCGCTTTTCCTGCTGCTGAGACAACAGGGATAAGGGGAGGCAGCGGCAGCAGCGGCAGCCGCAGGAGGAAAGCCCAGGCCGGCCAGGGGCAGCGTGGGCCAGGCCGGGGCACCCTGCA